ATGTTGGCTGGGACCAGGGCACGGCCACAGAGTGAGTGAGAAGCACTCAGATTTCCTGGTCTTTAAGGTACAACTGCTTAGTGACGCAAAACCAAATATGGGGCTGAGGAACACTGCAGGAAAATCAAACTAGAGACCATGACAGTCCTCTAGGCCAAACTGTGAGTCAACAGTTTAGGTCATCCTACAACTACTGAGTGCCAACTACGTGCCAGACCCAGTACAGGCCCTGCTGACAAAGAAATGAGGCCAACAGGCCTTTCTAGGAGCTGGTGGGGGAAAGGCCCAGGCCGCTGCAATCTAGGATGGCAACCACCTGGGTAGGTAGATGGGCTCTGGCTCAGCACAGACTGGTGGCCCAGCCAAGTGGGGCCTGAGTTTGAATCTTCGCTCTGCTCTTTGCAGGCTGTGTGGCCTGAAACAAGTGGCTCAACCTCTCTGGCCCTGATTTCCTCGTCCATGAAATGGGCATATTTGTGGCATCCACATCCTAGGTAGCTTTGTGAATCAGACTAGACTGAGTCAAGTTCTTAGGACTATACCTGGCACACAGGAAGCATTCACGTTTTGACACTTCAGTGCTTGAATCCCTTCTCCTGGTGGAACTCTATTGATGGAGCTCACTGCCTCACCTCTCTGGGCGGCTCCTCCTACAGTGTGACCAGGATCTTGCTCCATCAAGAGGTGAGGCCTACCCGAAACTGATTTGGCTCAATGGATAGAGCATCAGCTTGGGGACTGAAGGGACCCAGGTTCGATTCCGGTCAAGGGCATGTACCTTGGTTGCAGGCATATCCCCAGTAGGGGGTGTGCAAGAGGCAGCTGATTGATGACTCTCTCTCATCGATGTTTCTAACTCTCTATCTCTCTCCCTTCCTCTCTGTACAAAATCAATAAAATATGTTTAAAAAAAAAAGTATTAAAAAAAAAAAAAAAGAGGTGAGGCCTATATTCCCTCTCCTGGAGCCTGGGTCGACCTTTGCAACCTTTCCAGCCCACAAGAGGAGCAGAAGTGGTGCTGCACTTGTAAAGGGGATACAGCCCGGCTGGTCTGATCGTGGGTTATAAGAACCTATCAACATTAGTGTCACTAAAGTTGGCATACAACCCTCCAATACTAAATTTTACTATTTTCCTCAAAAAAGTGTGTGTGTGGGGGGGGAGGAGGAGGGAAAGACCGGGGTGGGGGCCCGCTGGCCAGGTAGCTCAATAGTTGAGTATAGTCCTGATTTGCCAAGATTGCGGATTCGATCTCCAGTCAGAACACATACAAGAATCCACCAATGAATGCATAAATAACTGGAATAATAAATCGATGTTTCTCCCTTTCTCAAATCAATTAAAAAAATAATAAAAGGGGGTATACAGCCTGCATGCTCTCTTCCTGTCTCACCTGAGGAGCCCAGAGCTACCCTGAGGGTGCCATGCTGAAGACCAGGAGGAAAGACCCATAGGGGGATAGAGGAGGCCCACACAGTTCCCACCCCTCCAGCCCTGGGTGCTGAACTCTTCCCATGTGCCACACGTGAGAGGGAGGGAGCCTTCCGGGTGTCTCCCTTTCCCATTGCCATCTGACTGCAGCAACATGAGACCCTGAATGAGAACCACTGAGCTGAGTCTCTCCTGAATTTCTTTTTTTAATTTCAAAAAGGAAGGGAGAGGGAGAGGTAAAAACATAATGATGACAATCATTGATCGGCTGCCTCCTGCTGGAGATTAAGCCTGAAACCCAGGCATATGTTCTGGCTAGGAATGGAACTGGTGACTTCTTGGTTTCTGCATGACACTCAACCCTGAAATAAAGAATTTATGGGGACTCAATAATAGAATAGAATATTCCAAGAATCAAATTAATGACGTGGAGTATGAAGCAGCAAAAACCCCAAACAAACAAAAAAACAAACAACAAAACAAAACAAAACAAAACACCCAATCAGAAGGCAAAAAGAAAAAAAAATCCTAAAGGATGAAGATAGTGTAAGGAGCCTCTGGGACAACTTCAAGAGTACCAATGTTCACATTATGGGGGTGTCAGAAGGAGAGAGACCAAGATATTGAAAACCTATTTGAAGAATGGTTCCTGGGTCAATGCTCAACCGCGAAATAAAGAATTTACAGGGACTCAACAGTAGAATAGAGGATTCCACAGGTGTGAGATGATACCTCACTGTCATTTTAATTTGCATCTCTCTTATGATCAGTGACTTTGAACATTTTTTCATATGTCGCTTGGCCATCTTTGGAGAAGTGTCCACTTTGGAGAAATGTCTATTTAGACCCTTTGCCCATTTTTAAATGGGATTGTTTTCCTTAAGTTGTATGAGTTTCTTATTTATTTTGGATATTAACCTTTTATCAGATGTATCATTGCCGACTATGTTTTCCAATACAGTGGGCTTTTAAAAAAAATATATTTTATTGATTTTTTACAGAGAGGAAGGGAGGGGAATAGTTAGAAACACCGATGAGAGAGTAACATGATCAGCTGCCTCCTGCACACCCTATACTGGGGATGTACCCGCAACCAAGGTACATGCCCTTGACCAGAATGGAACCTGGGACCTTTCAGTCCACAGGCCGACGCTCTATCCCCTGAGCCAAACCAGTTTCAGCTACAGTAGGCTTTTTGTTTTGCTGCTGGTTTCTTTTGTTGTGTAGAAGCTTTTTATTTTGATTCTTGTTAATTTAGTTTGATTTTTAGATTCAATTGTTGGTATGTATTTGCCATTTTATTGTTCATATTTCTCCTTCTCCTTCCTCTTCCTCTTCTTTAAGAATGCCCTTCAGCCCTAGCTGGTTTGGCTCAGTGAATAAAGGATCAGCCTGCAGACTGAAGGGTCCAAGGTTCAATTCCTGCCAAGGGCACATGCCCAGGTTGTGGGCTCAATCCCCAGTAGGGGGTGTGCAGGAGGCAGACAATCAATGATTCTCATCATTGATGTTTCTCTCTCTCTATCCCTCTCCCTTCCTCTCTGAAATCAATAAAGAAATATTAAAAATAAAAAGAATTCCCTTCAACATTTTATATAATATTGGTTTGGTGGTGATGAACTCCTTTAGCTTTTTCTTGTCTGTGAAGCTCTTTATCTTACCTTCAAGTCTGAATGTTAGCTTTGCTGGGTAGAGTAATCTTGGTTCTAGGTCCTTGCTATACATCACTTTGAATTTTTTTTGCCACTCCCTTCTGGCCTGCAAAGTTTCTGTTGAGAAATCTGCTGATGTTGTATGGGTGCTCCCTTGTAGGTAACTAGCTGCTTTTCTCTTGCTGCTTTTAAGATTCTCTCTTTGTCTTTAGCCCTTACCATTTTAATTATGATGTGTTTTACTGTGGTCCTCTTAGGGTTCCTCTTGTTTGAGAATGTGTGCTTCCTGGAGTTGTAAGTCTATGTTTTTCACCTGGTGGAGGAAATTTTCTATCATTTGTGATTAGGTCCAGGCGCCTCTACCTTTCTAAGATCAGGTGCTTCTTTATTTTCTAAATGTGAAACAGAGTGGGGACCCACCAGGCTACTGGGAGAGAAGATAACCCTCTCTCTCCTGATAAGCGGCTGCGAGCCAAAAGATTATGCTCCCATTACAGTTGTGGAATCCTCCAAGCTTTCCCTCTTTAAAGCAAGGCAGGCTTAAATTTGGAATGCTCAGCTTTGAATCAGGTCAATTCCTGCCTCCAACCCCTAAATACATGCTAAGAAATACATTTTAAGTGGTGGTCCACAGCACACACACCAAAACAAAACTGTAACAAACACGTAGCTTTAAAAATGCTGGCCACAACCTTCCACATTAGTTCTTGCCCTGCTAATTATTTGCTACTGGTTGTTTGCAAAATAAGGGTCTAGTTGCTGTCTCCCGCTTTACATATAGGAAACTTGATGCTTCACTTGTTCCATCAACCTCCAACTTTCTCACTCTTGTCATTTTGCAAGCACCAATAGCATCATCTGACATTTCTGTTTAACTTTTTCCTTATAGGCACAATTCATGCTCTTTACAGAAAACTTGCCAAAGTAAAGCCCTTCCCCCCTCCCAAAGACAAACCTGTGGTTTCTCTTTCTCCCAGATCTGCAGACTCACTTCAGGACCGGAGGAACAGCATTTTTCTGTGACGGGAATCACACAGGCATTGAGCCTTGCTTATCTGGCATCAGGCTCTCACGTTTTCCAGAGAAGCATCAGGTTTTAAGAACTAACACTTCAACTACTTTGAAAGCAACTCTTAAAAAGAAATAGCTTGAGATATAATTCACATAATAAAGTTCACCCTTTGAAAAATGTATAATTCAGTAGTTTTTGTATATTTCTCTAATTCCAGAATATTTTTCTTTCTGAGATGTACTCTCTCCCCAGGTCACTATCCAGCTGAGGGGTGGGGGGTGGGGGGTGGGAGGGCCTTGGACAAATCGCCCATGACCAGGGCCTGTTTCATTCTTTGTAGTATGAGGTGCCCCGACTCCGTCACGTGCGAAGCTAGGTCACGTGCACAGCCGGGTGACCGGCGCAGCCACAACATCTACCGTAGCGCAGCGCCCCTGCCAAGCGCAGTGACTGTTTATTATACTGTAATTACACTTAAGCTGTAAATATAATAGCATAACACTTTTCGGTTAAACACACTATATCGTTTTCCCGTACTGTACTAGCTTGGTGTCCACCGGAACCGCGGTTTCCCACGAAGACCCCAGAGAAGCCCTGAGACCCCACAGACGCAGAAGCCACCTCCAAACCCCGCGGGAAGAACTGCGCTGCGAAGCGGGCGCGCGGCCGGCGTAACCTGAGAGCCCCAGCGCGCAGGCGCCTGGGCGCATCCATTTCCCATTTGCCCCCACCTCCACCCCCACGCCGATGGTTCCGCCCGAGGAGGGAGGGGGCGGGGCCTCGCGTGGCGCGAAAATCGGCGCGAAGAGTGGCGCCACTTCCGTCTGCTGCCAGGCTCCGGCTGCCCCGCTCCGGCTGCCCCGTTCTCGCTGCCCCGCTCCCGCTGCCCGGCTCCCAGCCTCGCCATGGAGCAGCGCCGCCTCACCGACTTCTACGCGCGCCGCCGCCTTGGTCTCCGCGCCCCGTCTTTGCGGGTCAAGCCGACCTGGCGCACCCCCAGCCCCGCCAAGTCCGCCCTTCGCGCCCAGGTTCCCACCTCGAGCGGCAGCCGCAAGCGCGCCCGCCCGCCCGCCGAGCCTGCGAGCGACGAGCCCACGCGCGCCCGCCCCGCGCCGTCTGCGCGCAGGAGGCTGAGGCTGCCCGACAATGTGGTGAGGGCGTGGGGTGGCCGGGGCCGTGCGGGGAGGGGAGAGACAGATGCGGTGGGGGCAGGCAGGGGAGGGCTTCTGCAGAGACCTGGCGCGGAGGGAGGACGCAGACCAGGGGGCTGGTTGCAGAGGATACACACACACCCCAAGTGGAAGAACCGGGTCGTGGCCGGGGCGGCGAGAACTGGCTGAGAGGCATTGCAGGAGCTAAGTCCGAGCGGCCAGGCCGGTGTCCTGTGGCCACCGTAAGGGGAGGACTTGCATGGAAGGGCGGGGAAGAAACTTTGAGCGGGGAGCCGGGAGTGTGGTGCGGGAGGAGAGCCAGAGCTGGGCGGGCTGGTAAATGCCAGGCCCGTCTGCTAGGCTGGATTAGGGATCAAGCCTTGGTTACTGTCCTGAGCCAGGCCCCTCCCCTAACAGGGGTGGTTCCGAGAGGCTGGACTGAGGGCAGCAGAAAGTCTTCTTTCTGTAGAGCCAGTACACCACAGGGTCTTGTCATTTGTTCACCTTTGGGGTCTTTTGTTTCAGGACGCTGGCCCTGGCTCCCCAGCTGCCCCTGACTCAACAGCTGCCCTTGACACCCCAGAGTACTCCCCTCCGATCAAGAAGACAAAGAAGGCTGCCGTCTCAGCAGGTCAGCTGCCCAAACTGGCACCCCACAAGGGCAAGGTGAGGAGGCTGAACCACGGGCTGGGAGGTGGGTGTGGGGTAACTGGCTGGCTGACAGCGTCCTGTGTCTATAGGTTTCCTCGAAAGTCACCTTCTCTGAACTCCAGTCATGCCTGCAGCGGGCCCGGGAGCTGGGGGCTCGGGCCCAGGAACGGAAGGCAAGTGCCCAGGGGAATGATGCTGGGCAACCCAGTGCGCTGGAGGCCAAGGAGCACCCAGCAGGGCCAAGGTGAGTTTTGGGTGGGAGGCTCCCCAGGAAAGGGTAGGCTGGTGGGAGGCCTTGTAGGGATAGGGCTGGGCACAGGTCTGGGGCTGCTCCATCAGGGAGCCAGCACAGTAGATAGGACACTCAGATCTTAGTGCCAGTCACTAGTTCTTCACCTTCTTTCATCTAAGAGGGTGCCAATTCCTGCCTCAGTGGACCCTTAGGGTTTCAAATGATAGCCCGTGGTGATTGGGCATTTGCTTTCTAGCATTGTGTTCGCCCTCCCCAGGTCCTGAGGTGGTCACGTGCCTCTTAAGAGATACAGAAACCAGGGCTTAGGGTGGCCATGGGCATGGTGGAGCTGGTTTGAAGCCACCCTTTTCTGTCTCTATCCCTGACAGTGCTTATGATGGGGAGCGGGGCATATAAGGAATTTGCAAACTGGTATGCAGTGTGTTCTGGGGGCAGTTTTGCAAGCCCCAGCTCTGGGGTATCCCCAGCTGCTTTGCCAGCCATTGGGTCCTGGAGGGGATGTGGGTCTGATGCTTTTCTCAAGGCCTGGCTCCCTCCTTGCAGTGAAGAGAAGGCACCTGCCTATCAACGCTTCCATGCCCTGGCCCAGCCAGGGCCTCCTGGCCTCGTGCTGCCTTACAAGTACCAGGTGTTGGCTGAGATGTTCCGCAGCATGGACACCATTGTCAGCATGCTCTACAACCGCTCGGAGACCGTGACCTTTGCCAAGGTCAAGCAGGGTGTCCAGGACATGATGCGGAAGTGAGTGGAGTCCCCCGTTGGGTGGGAGCTGTGCTCTGCAGTGGAAGCTGACTGACTGACCCGACACCCTCTTCCCACAGGCGCTTCGAAGAGCGCAATGTGGGCCAGATCAAAACTGTGTATCCTGCCTCCTACCGCTTCCGCCAGGAGCGCAACGTCCCCACCTTCAAGGACAATGTCAAGAGGTCTGATTACCAGCTCACCATCGAGCCGCTGTTGGATCAGGGTGAGTGTGCTGTGGCTGAGTCCACCCATCTCTGAGCCTTGGTTTCCCCACCTGTGGCCCTGCAGTTTTGAACATGCATGTGAGGGCACTGAGCCCCTCGTCTGAGACCTGTGGTGTGGGGCTTGGCGCCCCAGTGGCTCTAGTCCAGGGGCTCGGAGCTCAGGCTTGCATTCTCTCTGCAGAGGTTGGCAACATGGCCCCCCAGCTCACAGCCTCACGCCTCCTGCAGCGGCGACAGGTCTTCGGCCAGAACCTGGTGGAGCGTGTCCGGGAGCACCACAGGGTGAGCTAGTGACCCCAAGATGACCAGCTCAGTCCTCCTTGTGTCAGGTGTCCCTATGCTCTGTCCCCTCCTTCAGTGTAGTCACAGCTGCGTCTTACCCAGCAGGAGACAGGCCCTGCTGAGAAGCTGTGTTCTAGAGCAGCAGTTGCCAACCTTTCGTACCTCATGGACCACCAGTGGTCTCAGGACCACCGGTTGGCGACCACTGTTCTAGAGTTCTCTTAAACCGCTCACCAGAGTGAGTCATCGTCTCATATGGATGGGGATTCTGGGCTGGGTGGGGACCCTGGCCCTCAAGTGAGGTATTCTGACCTGAACACAGGATCGGGGAACTCCGATGCAGACTCAAGACTTGGGAGGCTTGTGATAACTACAGTGGGTGCTGGTGGGTCCTCTACTCATGCCCAAAGGTGCCAGCTGGGATGGGAACCTCTACAGCCCCACTCCACCCCAGCCAGATGTGCCCAGGGTCATCGGGTATCCCTTCTTGGGTAGGTCTTCCTGGCCTCCCTGAATCCCCCCATGGTGGTGCCTGAGGACCGGCTGACACGCTGGCACCCTCGATTCAACGTGGATGAAGTGCCTGACATTGAGCCTGCTGAGCTGCCCCAGCCACCGACCACAGAGACGCTGGCCACTGCTCAGGAGGTGCTGGCTCGAGCCCGAAGTCTGATGTCACCCAGGGTAAGACTGGCCCCCTTCTCCCAGGGAAGGGTAGCCTGACCCCCATGTGGGCACTTGACAAACTCCACGTGTGGCTGTGGGCGTGGGGGGTAGTGGGATGTGCCCTCCCTATGTTCAGAACACTGCCCACTGGCAGGCTCTATCCAGAGATGCCCAGCACAGGTCTTTGATGTGCTGGGGTGAACTTGGGCTGGACATACAGGGCCTCCTGGGAAGGGGTATCCATCAAATGGGGTGTGAAGGCCTCCCAGGAGAGACTTCTGATCTCTTCTCTCTGACCTGCTCCAGATGGAGAAGGCCCTGAATGACTTAGCCCTGCGCACAGCTGTGCCCAGCAGCCCTGTGTCCAGCCCGGTACTGCCGGCCACTCCTCCGGACACTCCACCTGCTCTCCTGAAGGGGGTGTCCCAGGACCTGCTGGAGCGGGTGAGTGTTTGGGGTCCAGGGATGGGGTGGAGTGGGGACAGCTGTCCACTGACCACTCTCCATGCCCAATGCAGATCCGGGCCAAGGAGGTGCAGAAGCAGCTGGCACAGATGACGCGGTGCCCGGAGCAGGAGCAGAGGCTGCAGCGGCTTGAGCGGCTGCCTGAGTTGGCCCGGGTATTGCGTAGCGTCTTTGTGTCAGAGCGCAAGCCCGCGCTCACCATGGAGGTGGCCTGCGCCAGGATGGTCGGCAGCTACCGCGTGGCCATGAGCCCAGGTACGTGCAGGGGCAGGGCCACTCTGCATGTCCCCGAGTCCCCGGTGAAGGCGGGCACCATAAATCTACACAATTCTCCTCACCTGCTTGTGTGCACTGGATGGGCGTAGTACCCTTGAGATTCCCCCGAGTCCCTTTAACCCTGCAGCTTCTTGAGGCTGTCTCCCCATCACACACCTGGGCTTTGCCATGGAGGTCCTCCCCGAGGCTTCTGGTCCCACAAAGCTGCAGGACACTTCTGCTTCAGGCTCAGTGGGAGAGCCACCTCCTGGGGAAGGCTATGATGGACACTGCCCTGGCCCAGGCCTTCTGTTCTGTTAGTCTACTCCTTTGCTTCTGGGTACATAGATTTGTCTAGCCCAGAGGGAGGGGAGGAAGTAGGGGCTGGAACTATGGAAGGCTTGTTGACAGGACTCTGAGGTGAGAGCAGTATCTGTGTGCACTCACTCCCAGATGTGCACACAGGCCCAGAGGTTTGTGGGGAGGGACAGGCCCCCCACCTCATGAGGCCCTCTCTCTGCAGGGGAGATGGAGAAGCACGTGCAGCTCCTCTCTGAGCTGCTGCCTGGCTGGCTTAGCCTCCACCGCATCCGAACCGACACCTATGTCAAGCTGGACAAGGCTGCTGACTTGGCGGGTGTCACCGCACAGCTGGCTCGCCTTGCTCATGCTGAGGAGATGCTGTGAGCCTGATGGCTGCGCACCAGCACGCCGACATGGGCTCAAGGCCCTGGCCTGGCCTGGCCCCCTGTGCCTGTTTTATTCTCTAAGAATGCACTTTGCCCTCCCATTCCTGAGTCCTCACAAGGGTCAGCAGTTGTACTAGGTTCTGGGGTTGGAATTCTCTGGCCATTGTGGGTGGTACAACCACCTCATGCAGCATGCTGTCATTAAACTGGTTTCTCTTGGATTGGTCTTTGCTGCACAGAGTGCAAGTATGTGGGTGGCTTTCCTGGCAGCATGGGTTTGGGCAGTGTGGTTGGCAGAATACCCTTCTCCCCTGTCTCAGAGCAGTCCCCCAACAAAGGGATCTTGGGAGCTCATCCTATATTATCATAATGGCCCAGTGTCATCACGCAGAGGTTGGTGGATGGTATATCACTGGCTTGAAGATGAGGATAGGGCCGTGAACCAAGGAATGGGGCAACCAGCTCTATCTACACCTCGGTTTTCAGGATAGTTGGCCCTCTATATGCCAGTCAGCTAAGCAAAAGGAAAAAGTCACACTGCCAGCGTTTCCCAAACCTTTGACATATGTGTACCCCTCCTATAATTTTCGTAACGCCGAGTACCCCTCGTACTCATGAGAACGTAAAATTAGGTGCAGCTAAGCATGGTGCAGTACATATCCCCACCAAACTCCGGTGCAACGCGTACCCCCACCAAACTCTTCCCGTACCCCTGGGGGTACGCGTACCACACTTCGGGAAACACTGAATTGTATACTATGTAAGTGGGCCCAGGATGGCTACTCTACCGAGTACAGAATAATTCCCTGAACAATACAGCATAACAACTATTTACATAGCATTAGGTACTATAATCTAGAAATAATTTACAGTACACAGGAGGATGTGCAGGTTATATGTAAATATAATAGTTTATATAAAAATACACTGAGGGTCCCCTGCACCTCCCCTGCCTCTTGGTCCTGAGACCCAGACCCCACTCGGGCACCTGAAGAAACCACTGTAGCAAAGTCGATCAGTCATGTTATTTCAGTGGAAATTACCTGAGCAGCTGGGCTATCGGCTTCAGGCCTTGGCACTTCCAGAACCTGCAGGAAGGACCTGGCTGCTGGAGAGTAACTCCACCACAGAAATGGATAAAAAGTCCAGGTAAACGGCAAGTGGTGGTCAGTGAAGCCACAGGCCCGGGCCTCTCCTTTTCCTAGCTGGTGTGGAGCAGGGTATCGAGGTCACTCATACTGCAGGAGGGAGAAGAAGGGCACGCCCCCCAGCTTCTCTCTGCCTTTCAGCGACATGAGCTCCACCACACTCAGGCATTCCAGCACCTCTGCCCGCAGCTGGCCCAGCAGCTCACAGGCTGCATGCATGGTTCCTGGCGGGAGGGAGGGGAAAGAGTTGGTAATAGGATTCCATCTGGCAGCAGGCAAACTGGTGTTTAATTCACTTCTCACACACAGTAAGGCACTCCCACCCCCCCAAAAACTCCCCAGTGCCAACCAAGCCCTCTTCACTCAGAGGAGACCCTCACCACCAGTGGCCAGCAGGTCGTCCACGACTACCACTTTCTGCCCTGGCTCCAGGGCATCTCTCTGGATTTCCAGGTCAGCCTGTGGGTGGAAAGCAGGCACATGGTTGGTACATCTCAGAACAGCCTTGGTACATCTCAGTGCAGAGCCCAGGAGCTAATGAGGGGTCATGGTTTCAACCCTCCCGACTGTTTTCTGGCTGTGTGAGCCTGGCCCAGTGTCTCAGCCTCTCTGAGCTCCCATGTCCACTCCAATCATGGCAGCTCTATTTGATTCTACAACTTTCCCTTTGGGGAAGGAGGGTCCCTGGGATCAGCCACCAGCCCTCTCACCTTCCCGTATTCCAGTGTGTATGAGACGGACACTGTGGGGCCTGGCAGCTTTCCACGTTTTCGGATGAGCACACAGCCCAAGCCAAGTTCCTGGGCCAGGGAGGGGCCAAACAGAAAGCCTCTAGAGTCCAGGCCTGTTGGTGAGAGCTGGGTTATTGGGAGGCAGCCGTGTGGCGCAGTAGCATGGGGGTCCCTACAGGTCAGGCTGGATAATGACAAGTCACTACAATGACACAGGATGCCTGGCCTTGTTGGTGCCAGCCAGCTAAAAGGTCAGATGTCCATTTAGGGAATGTTGACTATGCACAGGGACTGTTGGTTGCTAGAGTGAGAGGTTAGGAGGAGGGGCTAGGGACTAAGTCCACACCACAAGGTTGAGTAATAACTGGGTGGCCCTCGGGAAGTCACCTGACCTCTTTCCAAAGCTCAGCTATTATCTAACTGGGCAGGTAATACCTGTGAAACATTCGGCAGACTCACGTCTTTGAAAGCAGCACCTGCCCAGGAGCTTCTGAAGGAGAGGTTATGACAGGGCACTGGCCACCTCTTGCAGTGCATTGAGCAGGAACAGAAGTGTTGGGTGTGAGGGTGTCACACCCAACTGAAGAGGGGAACAGCACTGCCCTGCCCTCCAGGCAGTGAGGATTAATGGGAGGGTCCGGGAGTGGGGCTCTCACGGGAGATAAGGCCACAGGGTCTTCCCAGATCTCTGTTGACATTCTCCAAGCATGTATTGAGCACACAGCTGGTGCTCAATACATGCTTGTAGAAGGAGAACAAGAAACCTTTAAGACCCAGTGGAATCTGGTCACATACTCTCCGGGGAAAATTCCCCAGCGCTGGAGACCTGGAACAGGGTGGGGTACACGAAACAAAGCAAGCATCTTCACATGGATGCCCTCAGTCCCACAGCCTGCAAGGTGGTACCCCCCTGGCAGAAGCCATTCCTCAGGCCGGGGGAGGGGCCTGTAACCCATCTCAGGGCTGCAGAGCAGGGGGCAGCGGTTCTATCCTTACAGCCCATGCTGACCAACCAAGCACCTTAGAGGTAGGTCCCCTGAAGGACTCCCACTAAAGACTCTCCTAAGCAGAGATAGAGCCGTCCCTCCCTCCCTCTGCCTGACTCAGGAAAACGAACCCCACACAACCCGCCTCCTGGGGCCTGGCCCACACGCCAGACCCCCCTCACCCCTGACCCCTCACTTGCCCGCGATGTAGTCGATCTTGCCGCCGTGGGTCTTCTTCAGGTGGCTCGCCAGGAGGCTGATGGCAGCGCGGAAGGAGTTGGGGTCCTTCAGGAGGGGCGAGATGTCCCTGGCGCGCAAGCACAGGCCTGGTGGTGACTCCCGGGTCGGGTACGGGGTGGGGAAGCCACCGGCACCCATACCGCCCCACTGTTCGCATACGCCCAGCCAGGCCCTCATCGCCCGGCCCCCGGTGGCCTGCCCGCGCCCGCCCGCGCGCACCTGAACAGCACGCCCGGGGTGGGGAAGTCCGGGAAGCTGCGGATGCGCTGGGCCACCAGCTGCAGCCGGGGGTCCGCCATCGCCGCGGCAGACAGCACGTGTGCGCAGGCCAGACAGCTCGGCGCGCCGGCCGGGGCGGGGCGGGGCGTCTGGGTGGCAGGAAGGACGGGCGGGGCACTCGGGGCGGGGCACTCGGGGCGGGGCTGGCCGGCTCCGGTAGGAAGTCCCGTTTTTCATCAGATCTTCGAGTTTAAGACGCCGGTTTATTTCGTGTTCCCGGAACGTAAGCGTGGGGCCGAGGAGCGAGCCTAGGCCGATGGAATGTAGCGTCTCTGCAGCCCGGCCGGTTTCCGGGGAAACCCTCCCGCGCGTTCAGCCTGCCCCAGAGCGCCCGGCAGGCCCTCCGGGGAGCCTTGGCAGGGATTCCCGGGCACCGAGCGGGCGCTGGCCCTGCCCTCCTGGCACGCACCGTCCTGCCGCGGCAGCTCCGCTCTGCCTGGCATCGGAGGTTCTCTCTGAGCTCCTCTTGCGCGGCGCGAGGGCGCGCACAGGCAGCCGGGCCTTCCCTCCCAGAGCTGGCGGGGAGTGGGGGCTAAGAGTGGGGAGGGGGTTGAGGGCTGTGAGCTAGTGTTCCGAGGGAGCTGGGATGATGGCCGGGCTAGGGGAGGGGCCAAACCAGAGGTGGAGGCCTTAGGTGTCTGGGGCCTGGGGCCTGGGGCCTGGCTTGCTGTGGGGGCTTGCAGTGGGAGGAAGCCTTCCCAGCCTTTCTGGACTGGGAAGCGCGGAGGAAGGAGGCTGGAATGGTTGGCCTGGCTGGAAGCCCACCCCTGAGAGCACAGTCGCTTGTGACTGTGGAGGAAGCTGAGGGGACACACTGCAGCCCCCCATCAGGGTACCCAGGAAGGACAACTTCCCCCAAACATAAACTCATTTTAAAACACAAGAGCTAAAATGCTTGTTACTTTATTCTAAAACCATTTTTTCATAATTCCCCAACTTCCAGCAACAGAGCTTAGGCAAGATAATCACTGCAGATGGGAAGACCCCACTCTGCATGGCTTCAGGGCAGGAGCCTTGGGGTCTGCCCTTGGTTGCTCAGGCTTTTCCGATTCCAGCCGGTGAGGGGCCTCTTTGGCTTTGCCACACCAGGTGGCAAACGGGAGGAGGGCAGCAGGGATCGCTGTGAGGCGCAGACACACGGCACAATGTGCTGGGGTCCAGGGGTTCAGGGGTCTAGGTCCCTAAGAAAGGTGGACAATCCATGATGCTGACATTTGTTACGAAGCGAGTTCCCCAAGAGATGAACCACCGGAGCCAATTTGATTAAGCATGCAAGAGTTTATTACAGATTCGAATCCGGGCTCAAACCTTGGCTGACGCAGCAGCCAGCAAACACCCAGGTGAGAGCCCTGATGGAGGGGCAGTCCCTCCTCTTATACCTCCTTTCCCATCCCATCCCACTGTTGGTCTGTCATTCCCTGATTGGCCCCTCAGGACAAAGAACTGGCCATCCTCAGCTATTCCTTAGGTGATTTATACAACCTGGTCTGTTTTGCTTCAAACAGAATGTCTGTTCTGACTCCAAAAAGGAGTGCAGGATGCTGCTTTTTTTTATGACCCCAATTTCCCAGCCAGATCTAGAGGGAGGTCTGTATGTTTTCTACAAAGGAATTCCAGGCACTGAGTTACGACTGACTCTATTTTTTTAAACTTTTCCCCCCTGGCCTGGTCTGTCTCCAGAGTCCTTATCTCTTGGGCAGACGGGGCCGACTGTCACAACATTGTGTCCAGGGAAGCACCAGCATCAGCTATCCCCACTGGGTGAGGGAGGCCGTGGCTATGGAGAATGCAGGTCAGAGAGGCCCTCTGCCTCCTCCCCCTCCATGTGGTGTGGTGCAGAGGTGGGTCTGGGGTTCAACACAGGATTGGCACAGCCTCTCTTGGCACTGGGGCTGAAGTGCTGAGGGCATCCGTGGTGAGTCATGCCCTCTGGGTGCTGGGATGGAGGCCAGGCCTGAACAAGGCCAGTCTTAAGGTGGTAAGAGCCCAGTGGGAGGACGAGACAGGTGGGCATACTGAGACCTGTAGGCAGCGCCGCATTCAGCTCAGGTTGATGTAGGGCCTCAGGCTCAAGGGGGCAGAATCAGGTAGGCGGGGAGGAGGGCAGTGGAGGATCCTCCAGTGGGAACCAGACCCTTCCTACCCCGGCACTTGCAGGGCCTGTGGGAGGCATGGGCCTGCCCGAGCCTGCACAGCAGCTAGTGGGGCCAGAAGCACTTCACAGGAACAGACTCCGGGGGCGTCAGGCACTTCCCTAACTTTTCACAGCCTGGGGGTGCCCAGTTCTGGAAAAAGGAAATTCAGAAAGAGAATGTGCAGTTACTCTACACACTTACGCACTCAGCAGTTTCTAGACTCCTCCCCTGCCCAGGCCCGGCCTGAGCCCTCTGTTATCCAAGGGGACGGTCTGCTAACTGCCTCAACCCCCTGGCCACGTTCCAAGCAGAGCAAAGGCCAGGACCTGCGCACCCCCGCTGCGCAGAGAAGCAGCTCCACACTCCAGCGAGGGCTGACAGGCTTCATACATCTCACAACTCCCCACCAAAGCTCTCTAATTGGCAGGAACCCTTTCTCCAGGGAAGAGCTGGCTGTTCAAGGTCCCAGGTGGACTGTAAGGGACTGGTCTTCTTGTCACAGTGACCAGAGAACACCGTCCTGAGTCCTCACCTTGGCTGCCTGGAAGAGCAGGGGGCCCAGAGGTGAGCTAGAGGGTAGAAGTGTGTGTGTGTGTGTGTGTGTGTGTGTGTGTGTGTGGTCTGAGCTGGGGGGCTGGAAGCAGGGGCAAAGCCCAGGGCTGAGCTGAGGGACTGGGTGTGTGGGGCCCAAGGCAGAGCTGGGAGTTGTAAGTGTGGGGGGCCCAGGACTGAGCTGGAGGGCTGGGTGTATGGGGGGCCCAGGGCAGAGCTGGGGGGTTGGGTGTGTGGGACCCAGGGCAGAGCTAGGGGGTTGGGTGTGTGGGGCCCAGGGCAGAGCTGGGGGTTGTAAGTGTGGGGGGCCCAGGACTGAGCTGGGGGGCTGGGTGTGTGTGAGGCCCAGGGCAGAGCTGGGGGGTTGGGTGTGTGGGGCCCAAGGCAGAGCTGGGAGGCTGTAAGTGTGGGGGACCCAGGGCTGAGGTGGGGGGCTGGGTGTGTGGGGCCCAGGGCAGAGCTGGGAGGCTGTAAGTGTGGGGGATCCAGGGCTGAGGTGGGGGGTTGGGTGTGTGGGGCCCAGGGCAGAGCTGGGGGGTTGGGTGTGTGGGGCCCAGGGCAGAGCTGGGGGGTTGGGTATGTGGGGCCCAGGGCAGAGCTGGGAGGCTGTAAGTGTGGGGGATCCAGGGCTGAGGTGGGACGTGTGTGTGGAGGGGCCAAGAACTAAGAATGGAACCTTTCCTCCATCCGGGGTTGAGGAGGGCCAGGGTATGGAGAGGACAAGTAAGGGGCCCCTCAGGCTTTGCACACGCTCACACACACCCACGTGCTCACACACGTGAGTCCACACACCTCTCAGTGACTGCTCACTTTAAGCCCGGAGGCTGACCTACACTTCCTGTGCAGGCTCCCCCACCTTCTCCCACTCCAGGGGTGGCCAGGCTGTGGCAGTTCCCATGGGGTCCAGGAGATGGCGGCAGCGCCTTGCCGGGTCAGTTACCTCCCTTCCCTTCTGGTCACTAAACTCTTCTCAAACAGCAATCACCAATGGGAGATGGTGTGTTGGGGTGGGAATAGCATCGCTTTCACAGAATAACAAGCCAGAGCATGCAGACCCCTCAGCAGTTTCAGGGTTCTGAGGACGCACCCCACAGGAATCACCATGTACAGCATCCATAGCTGCGTACACATAACCCACTTACCATGACTGCCTGGTTGCACACATTGAGCTGGGGCTGTCCAGGGACCAAGGCCTCCTGATGCTGCTGAACAACTGGGGTGATCCTGCCAAGGACGTTCAGGTACTCGGTGCTGGCAAAGCTAGAGATGAGAGAGCATCAGGTCACTGAGGTGGGGAGGACCCTCAGGTAGGCCACCAGGTGGGCTGGGAAAAGGCCTGGGGCTGGGGGCCCAGCTTGTCTCTCAGGCATGGCTGGCCCTGCTGGAACAGCCACTGTCTTGGGGCCACCTGACACTGTCACCCAGGTCAGCCCTGCTCCTCAGGCCTCCACACCAGTCCATGCTCCCTGCTCTGCTGGCTGCAGTCCCTTCACACACAGCCCCCAAGCTATTTGAAATAGGTCTCAGGCGTGTTTCGTGTCTTTCCAGGATTCTGGCCAAGTGCACTGCAAAGGGTGGGCTTAACCAAGTTCAGCGGTTTTTGGACAGGTCTTCTCGAAGCAGTGAGAGCACGGGCGGGAAGCTCCAGGAGGCCCTGCACTCCGCCCTGAACAGTTCCGTCCAGGCAGTGGCTCCAGGATCTTCTTGCCCAGAGCTGTGCCCCTAAATGACCCCGGGCAAGTCACGTCCAACGCAGCTCCAAGCCTCCTCTTTTGGAGCCAGGTATGGGGTGCTGTGAATAGGGGTGTGGCTGGGTACCCAAGGGGCCCTCCAATTGGGGCAATAACCCCAAACATTGCAGCACCTCCAAATAATGACAACGTGGATCTAAGGAGGTCCCTCTCTGGTGGGGTATCCACATATCTTTGTTCTGAGCAGCAGGCCCCATGACCTCAAATTTTGGGGAATACAGAGGTGGGAAGTGGTGCCATCTGGCCACACTCAACCAGTGGAGGCAGGGGCAGGATTTGTTCCAAGTTTCCGCCAGCTCACTGTGTCAATCCTTTTGTGGACATTTGAGTCTGAGAAGCCATATCATGCGTGTTGCCATGGGGAGGGGAGGGCGTTAGCAGAGGCTCAGCCGCCATCTTTGTCCATACGACCCACCTCGAGGGCACCTGAACCGTGGAGGAATCAGCAAGATGGCTAAAGGCATGGGGGCTGCGGGGCAGGCTTGTGTGTCCTCATCAGACTGCCTATAAAAAAAGTCCTGCTGGACATAATTTGGGGGACACTATTTCATCTTTGGCATCGGCTCTCCATGTGCCCTTGGCCCCTGGCTCCAGTAAAGTGAGGGGCTGCTGAGGAAGCCCCCAGGGCTCCCCAGTGGCATGAAGAACCCCAATCTGACCCTCACTGGGAGGAGCTCAGTCGGGCTGGCAGGCAGCTGCCGGGTTAAGGGCTTCAGTTGCTCCTGATGTCCTCAGTGCTGCTCATCATGGAACACGGTGGCCATTTGGAGAGATTCCTGACCACCCCACGGCTGGACTGTCACCCTCCACAGAGGCCGCCTCTGATGGCAGCCTGGAGCCGGGGTCTTGTCTTGCTGGGCCACACGGAGACAAATGGGGGAGATGGGAGCCCCTGGAGAGGAAAGGCGACGACACACATGCCCACATGGGAAAACCGCCGTTCAGGTCCCAGAGCTCCAGGTGGAGGGAGCCCCACGCTTCCCTTCCTGTGTATGCATTTCCACCCGTCCATGCACTTCTAGGAAATGCAGCACATTGGCATGTCCTTGAATTGGCTGCACCTGGCCAATGCTTCCTTGGCAGCTTCAATGCCCCCTGGTGCCCGCTCACCTGAGGGGATACCGCTCTCCTGGGTCTCGTCCCAGGTGGAAGATGAGGGGCAGCTTCGTGTGCTCCTCCTGCGTGTGGGTGGTGACTCCTGAGACATTCTGTCCAGGGCAGAAATCAACGCCCTGAAACAAGAGGCAGGTGAAACAGGTAAGCGCTGTCTGTGTGTGGAAGCTCCTGCCGCAAGGCTGGCCAGTCCGTCTGAGTGGTCAAGGCCGGAGCAGGCCAGGAAGTGGGATCCTATAGGGTGGAGCCTTCCCACCACCCTGGCCCCAGAGATGCTGAGCAATTATGTCCTGTGTTCCATCCCCTACTTTTTTGGAACCCCCTTTTTTTTGTGGGGGGTGGGGAGGAAGTGAATATCTTCAAATTATTTTAGCCCATTTCACATCCCGACTGCCTTTCATTTCTAGAGAAGCTATTTTCAACCGTTTGCAATTCATGGCACATGTAATCTGAAATTTGTGGCACACCAAAATTATTTTTTTTGTTAATCTGACAAAAAAAAGGGGGGGGTGTTTAATTTTGATTCATTCACACTGGATGGCTATTGTTGTGTTGGCTGTTGTCATTTTTATTTGACAATCTTAGGGGAAAGAGGTCAGAATCCCTGACTAAATAGTCAGGTATTGCATGTTTTAAAATTTGCAGCACACTGGGTGTAATTTGCTGCTCTAAAGCAAAGCTTTGTACCACTTCATCCGCCTCATGGCTCAGCATTCCCTCAAAACTCCTTCACTAGTGAGGAGGGACTGCAGGCCTGAGAGCTAGGGATGTACAGAGCCAGGAATGGCCCAACAGGCGACCCAGATGCTCCTTAACAGGTAGGGACCCTAAAATGACAAAAGTGAATATGTTTAAGAAAGCAGGAAAGCCGGGACCGGTTTGGCTCAATGGATAGAGCGTCGGCTTGGGGACTGAAAGGTCCCGGGTTCGATTCCGGTCAAGGGCATGTACCTTGGTTGCAGGCATATCCCCAGTAGGGGGTGTGCAAGAGGCAGCTGATCGATGACTCTCTCTCATCGATGTTTCTGACTCTCTATCTCTCTCCCTTCCTCTCTGTACAAAATCAATAAAATATACTAAAAAAAAAAAAAATAAAAAAAAAAAAAAAAGAAAGCAGGAAAAGGTGGAGAGATCACACCAGGCTCCCCAAAGGCTCAGGTGTGGCACCCACTGCCGCACGTGCGAGGCCTCCTCTGCCTCCTGCCTTCGTCATGGCACAGCCTCTGAGGAGCACCTGGAAAGGGCTTCCCCTGCCAGGACATGGCCTGAGCTTTGCCCAGGTCCTGGGGCACCCTGAGGGCTTGGGCCAGGGGTTCCCTTGAACCTGTGGCCTGCGGTCTGGAGCTCTGTCCCCAAGACCTGAAGGCTGTCCCTGGGGCTCTCTCACTTGGGAAGAGGAGAGGCCCCTGCCATCCAGGGAGAACTGGCTGAGGCCAAGGGCCCCGTCCTGAGGTACAGGTGACCCCTGGACCCTGCAAGACTTGGCACCAGTCTCCAGCCAACACAGGGAGGCACTGCTGACAGGTCTGGCGAGGTGGCCATGGCCCAGGTATGGTAACTAACTGAGAGGCTTTCTGTAAGGAGGCAAACCGTCTCTAATCCCCATGTGTCTTTGATGGACAGCTGGTCAGTGGAGCAGTTAATATTCTGCTTTTCAATAAAGGAGGGAAGTTAGAGCCCATGAAATTCCATTTATCTGCACTGAGCAGGCAATCCCCGAGCCAGGGGCAGCGGTCTAAACCATCGAGGACAGCCGACAGTGAGCACACAGGGCTTCCAAAGGGGGTGACGGTGACCCTTTGACCTTCTGGGAGCAGAACTGCTAGAGAGCAAAGTGGGAAAAATAACCACAGTTAGCATAAAAATGCTGAGCGGTTAATGGAGAAGTATCTAAGTCTAGACAGAAGACTTAGATGATAATATGGGTGCAAATCAAATAAGCTATTTAATTAAGAGCCTGCTAATTAGTACAGGATTTTTCTCTTAAAACTATTATCTGTGTGGAGGCCTCACACTGGGAGCATCACAGCTGGGCCAGCCAGGGGACCTGCAGGTCATAGCACTGACTTTGGAGGGTTGGCAGGGAGGAGGGGGATGAAGGTGCCCATGGGAGTGAATCTGGATATGCAGGTCACACATGCACCTTCCTCTGGCCTCTCACGCAGGGCCTCATGCAGCCCATGGCGGGAGGACATGGCTTGCCTGAGGCAGCGGCATCAGGCTCGGCAGGGAAGATGCTCATTCGCTCCTCCTCCACCATCCAACAGTCACGAGTTGATGGAAGACCTGGGGCTTGGTCTGGTGGACCACCACACAGCAGCCCCCAGGACGTGGGAAGGGATTCTTAGAGGGGGTGTGAGATGCCCCAGGACAAGCATACAGCCAGGAAGCTAATAAGGTCCACTCAGGTGTCTGCCAAACCTGGGACCACAGACGGGAACACCCACAGCTAGGTTGTACCTCAGGGCAGAGCCAGCCCAGACTGGCTGTTTGGCTCCAGCTGGGCCCTATGGTGGCCTCTGAACAAAGCTATCCCTAATGTGTTCATTGTAAGAGACTGGAGGAGGATCAAAGTCTCCTGGGTACTCAGGGGAGCTGCTGATGGCTGTGGGGTACTTTAGAACTTCATGCTGCCGACCACAAGGTGGGATGTTCACAGTACTGGGCCACATGGAGGAAGACACACTGTCCTTGGCTCTGCCCAAGTGCCTATGTCTGCACAGCACCCGGGTCCACGCATTGCACAGGTGCCCCCTGGCCATGCCACCCACCCAGCCCAGGACCAGAGCCGGGATCCACTAAATCTGCAATTTGCATCCCAAGTGCTGCAGAGTGTTCCAGTACTTAGATTTTTCATTAACTTAAATTGCTTTCCTCCCAATTAAGTCACATTAGCAGGCTTTTCTTGTGTCTAAAGACTTAGACATTAGGGGAGGGGGGGCTGTGTGTAGGAGGGGGCAGCAGAAAGGACTCAGGAGGGGGGAAAGGCAGGAGGACAGGCAGTAAGAATCCAAGACCATGTGCTGAGAACTCAGACCCAGCATGTATGTGGCAATTGATCCACAAGCTCTTGGGGCAGACACCATGATGCAGATAGTACGACAGCCTTTCAGAGGCCACAGAACACTGATCAGGCCTTGGAGGGGGACAAGCAAGAGGGGGCCAGGGAAGGCACCCTGGGTTCACCTGGGCCATGAGGTGTCTGCTGAGTCTGAACCTGGCCTGAGGCCTCCTTTCCCCAGACACTGGGTAGCCTAAGGGAGGGTGGGGTGCCCAGGACCCTAAGGGGCTATCCTTGTAGTATTCTGTGGCACCCCAAATCCTTCTTACCATAGTTAAACACAAAGGCAGGAAGCACGGGATCGTGTGGCCATCCCCACTGCATGGAAGCCTCCTGCCGGCCTCCTCTGTCCAGATGTGTCCTCCTCAAGGACAGCGTGTGGGGGGTGCAAAGCCCACAGCCCTGAGCACCTTACCTGTCTGAACTCCTCCCAGGAATTGGTCCAGGTCCAGAAGTGGGCCTTGTACTGGCCCAGGGTGACAGCCATCAGTGTGTTGCCACGGTAATAGAATATCGGCCTGTCAGTGAAGAAGGGAAGGGTCAGGTGACGTGAGAGACTGGTTAGGGCCGAGGCTTTACGGAGACTGCAATCACATGAGCACAAGCTGCAGAGGCCCCGGAGGCTGCAGGGCGAGGCCTCGGCTTCTGTCATTCTTGGCTTTGGGAGGCCGGGTGCAGAATGAAGCGGCATCAGGTGGTGGGCAGGCACTCTGGTCCCTGAGGGGCCGGCAGCTCACTGAGGCTGCAGCCTCCAGCATCCTCCCTCCCCACAGTAAGCAGGCTCTTGTGCCAGGTTTCAAGAGAGAAAAAATAAGCAATATTAAATACAAAAAAAAGGACACAAGCCTGACTAACCCCTGCCCTAAATCCAAAATGGGTAGCTGGTCTCAGGCTGAGGAGATACTGACTCTGGACACGAGGCATTCTGGTACAGAGTCAGTATCTCCTCAGCCTGAGACCAGCTACCCATTTTGGGGGGTGGAATACAGCCAGTCTACAGAGGTTTGGGGTAGCTGGTTTCCTCCTTGCTCCACGGTCAAGGCAGAAGTGATGAGCCCCACAGGGAGTTCATGCCAGGATGTCCAGAGGTCTGCCCCAAGCCAGCTGGGCAAGGAGACCTGCTTTGTCAGCCAGCTCTGGCTCCATCACTTGGTTAGTCGGTGCTGGGAGACTGGGCAGGGTGAGCACCCGGCTAGAACAAACCTCTCCATCAGCTGGCCCTGCAGCATGGCGGGGAGGAGGTCAAGGCCATCAATCACCCTGTCACCGGGTGGCTCCAGGCCTGCGAGGGACAGGCTGGTGGTAAAGAGGTCCATGATGCTGCCCAGCTGGTGGCTCACCTGAAATGGACATGGGTGGACACTCACTCAGGACACCTGTCCTGACCAGGCGATGGCCGGGGCCAGGCCCCGGGGTGTGCGTCCTGCTGTTGTCCAGCTGGGTCTACAGAGACATGTGTGCTCACACAATGGCACACACAACCACATCCTTTACAATGTGTCCACACATAGGAACGTGATGTTCATGTGTCCACGCATGCCCACCCCTATCCACTTCACCGGGGCTGCTCCCATCCCACCCTCCCTCCCCTCCCAGAGCTCCTCACATCCACGAGTGTCTGGGTGAGTGTGGCTGCCACACAACTCTCCCACCTCAGGGAGAGTGTCCTTGGGGAGACCAGGGGCTAAGTGGGGATCAAACCAGTTGTCTGACCCGAGAGCAGGCAGGACCCTGTCCCATCCCAGTACCTGTGAATGGGAACCAGACAGAAGGGAGATGCAGCCTGCCCAGGGAGCCAACTGCAGGGTCCCCCCTCAGGACGCCTGCCCTCTCTGCGCCCGGCTGCCGCGTCATTTTAACACTGACAGTGTGCGTTCCCAAGTGCAGGTGGGAAAAAGACCCTCGAAGCCCAGAGCCATGTCGAGAGCCAGAGGGAGGGGAGAGAGGACAGGAGGGGAGAGCAGATGGAGTGGGGAGGGGATGAGGACTGCAGCCAGAGCCAGAGCAGCTGTCCCTATGGATAGGCCTAAGGAGCAGACCGCTCTGGGCAAGGGCTGCCCACTGGTGTCGGACGCGTGTCTGTTTCCCACACATGGCTCCATCTTGTCTGGAGCCCACCTAGTTCTTTCAGCCCTGAACTCTGGATCTGGGGCAAGAGCCAGGTCGGCGGGGAGAACCCCAGAGAGACTGTTGGCAGACCTGGCAAGGCAGGCACCCCCTCATTCCCACCGCCTGCCAAAGCCTCTAGCATTGCCCAACTTAGCACTTCCCACACCCCGGGCACCCTTGTCTCCATTCCCCCCCACCAGGAGAAACGGAACCCAAGCACATCCACCGCAGCCACTGGTGTCATCTGTTCTGCAGCCTGGGGTGGGGGTGGGGCATGAAGGTCAAGGTTTGGTTCAAAAATTCTGTGAAGGGAGGGGAGGAGAAACATTCCAATGGCTCCCTCCCCTTCTAGCTTTTTTTTTTTTTTTAGAAGAAAAAAAGAAAGAAATCCATACTTTAACCCTCTGGAAAAGATAAATAAGGAGGAGAGATTGTGGGCTAGGTGTGGGTGGTGTGGGAAGGAGCGGATATCTGAAGTCCTCATATCAGCACGGAACAGCTGGGGACACTCGTGGAGGATGCTCTTTTTGAAAAAATAGACGCTTTCGACGTGTGCATGTAAAGCCTTTAAGAAAATGCAATTTGTCTGCCATGGGCCCGTGGCAGGAAGTCACAGAGGCTGTTATCAGCACTTTCAAGACTTAGTAACTCGGAATCAAAGGCTACAATTAATAAAGTCACCCTGCCAGGCGTGAAGGGGAGAGCTAAATATGTGAAGCTGGCTGGACAGATGGCAGGCTGTTTTAAAGTAAAATCCTCTCGCAGTTATCACAGGGTGCAGGCCTGACAGCCGTCTAATTCAGTCTCAGTGTGTGCCATGAGACGCGGAGAGGAAGGGGCTGTAGCTCTGTGCCATGTTCTCCCTCCTCCAGGGAGCAGGGCCCAGAGGGCAGGGAGCCCGACAGGCAAGGGGCAGCGGGTCCCAGAGGCTGGAGTTTCCCAAGGCAGGGCGGGTGGGGAAAAGGGTCCCAGGAGAAAAAGACAGTGGGGGAAGGTGTGGGGGCACCTCCGACTGCCCCAGCTCTGCCGCCTGCCAGCTGGGAGGTCCCGAAAAGACTGCCTCTCACTGGCCTCAGTTGCTGACATGGAGAATGGGGGTGAAGGTGCTGAAGGCAGGCTCTCGGGACTCTCCCCAGTGACCTGGCTCCTGCACCCAGATCCAGAGTTCAGGACGAAAGAACTGGGTGGGCTCTGGGTGAGGCCCTGACTCTGGACCCCGTGAATGTTTTTCCTTCCACAGAGAAGGGGAATCAGGTTGTCAATCAGCTGAGCTTAAAGCAAGGGCTGATTCTGGCTCCCCGTGAGCGCCAGGGTCTCACAGGGTCCTCACCCTGGGAACGTGGCAGGGGGGCCAGTCAGGGTGATACTTGGACAGCCATTGCTGGCCTGGATGATGGAGGGAGGGACCAAGGGCCAAGAAGCCTGAAAAAACAAGGGAACTGGTTCTCTCCTGGAGCCCCCAGGGGGAGCCAGCTCTGCGACACCCGATCTTAGCCCCAACGGTGCTGGACTGCCAATCTCCACATTGGGTGCTGGACTGCCAACCTCCACACTGTGGGAGGGAGAGCGAAGGTACGTTCCAGCCCTTTTATTTTTAAAAAAATATATTTTATTGATTTTTACAGAGAGGAAGAGAGAGAGATAGAGTTAGAAACATCGATGAGAGAGAATCACCGATCAGCTGCTTCTTGCACACCCCACACTGGGGATGTACCCACAACCAAGGTACATGCCCTTGATCGGAATCAAACCCGCGACCTTTCAGTCTGCAGGCCGACACTATCCACTGAGCCAAACCGGTTTCGGCCCTTTGTTGAGGGGATTGTTTCGGAGCCACAGGAATTAGGCCCCTGAAGGTACCACTGTGAGGACTGAGCTGACACCAGCACTGCACCCGGTGCTCTCTGAAGAAGCTCATTAGCAGGGAAAAAAGACCAGCTGAGCCAGTGACTTACATGTCTTAGCCCCTCGAGGTGCCTCAATGAAGGTGCCCAGTTGAGGGGGGCTCTGAGAGTGAGGGCTCTGAGGGACAAGACACACACCTTGTCCAGCAAGAGGCCCGGGCCACCCAGCCTTGTGGTTGCACCTATTCACTGCAGACAGATACCAACCACACGGTCAAGCTGCTGCTGTCTCTGGGAGCGTGCCCACACAAGAGTGGCCTGGGAAATGCACTTTGAGAAAAAGGTTCTATGGCTAAACAAGATTTTAAAAACTCAGCTTGCTCTATCATGCCCCTACCAGAAGTTATCTATACACACTGCACACCAAAGGCTCTGATAGTCCTGCAGGAAGAAACCGGATCCACTCAGTGGCACCCAGGACTGCCACATTTTTTTTTAATATATTTTATTGATTTTTCACAGAGAGGAGGAGAGAGGTATAGAGAGTTAGAAACATCGATGAGAGAGAATCATCGATCAGCTGCTTCTTGCACACCCCCCACTGGGGATGTGCCCACAACCACGGTACGTGCCCTTGATCGGAATCGAACCCGGGACCCTTCAGTCTGCAGGCCGACGCTCTACCACTGAGCCAAACTGGTCCTGGCGGCACCAGGACCGCCACATTTATTATCCACTGATGTCTCCTCCTCCTCCCTTGGCAGCTACCAACACCCCATGCCATGTCCATGGAGGACCTTTCCAGTCCACCCCGCACACCCCTCACTCACCAGTGGCCTCCCTCAGGAGGGGCCCCGTTTGGAGGAGAGCAGTGAGTGGAGGGAACAGTCTCCACACCCCAGGATGACTGTAGGCCTGGCCAGTGGCCAACCTCTGACTCACCTGGCCTGCAGGGATGCGCCCGGGCCACCACACAATCGCAGGCTCCCTCATCCCACCTTCAAATGTGGTCTGCTTTCCGCACAGAAAGGGGCCATTACTGCCTCCTGGGGAGGGAGAGTTGTTGCCCATCAGCTGTCTCTATTCTGGGTCCCTTGGCAACACATGCCTTACTGGGGCCCTTGCCAGCTCCCAGCCACACCCAGCAATTCAAAGGTAACATTGCTGGTACACCGAGGCACCGAGACCATCATGGCGGCAACGGACCAGCACCAGGTTGGGACGCCTCGAGATGGCTCTGACCTAGGCAGCCATCCTGGATGAGGGGGTAACACGGTGCCCATTTTTCTGGTCCTAAAATGAAGAGCAACTACTCAGAAACAGAGAACAGGACCACTCTGTTAGCACAAGACACAGACACTCTTCAAGCAGAGCCACGGAGCACATCCCGACAGTAGGTCATGGGATATGTTGTACCACTGTCTGCAGCTTTTCAGGTACAACCTTTCTTAAATGTCAGTGTCTAGGGGCGTCCATGCATGTTTGGGGAGTTGGGAAGTCTAGTTAACATGCATCAGTCCCCGGGTCCCAGGGGAGGGGGGTCCCATCACTGATAGGATGCAGATTCATTTCTGACAAGCCCTGCCGTGAGCAGGTGGTCCTGAATCCATGCTGGGGAAGTGGCAGAGGGCGGAGCCCCCGTTCTGGCTGATCCAATGTCCTGCTGGGTGGTGGGTGCACCGATTTTTACCTCCTTGTCATTTGTATCTTTTAAGAGATGCGCATGGAGGTTCTGTCCATATGAACTATTCCACAAAGCAGAAACAAAGGCTGCGGTGAGTAAGCTCCAGGCCAGGCTGGGAGGTTGGTGGTCCTGGCAAGACTGGTCTGTCAGGGCAGGGCTCTCCTGAGCGTCCCATTCAGGGCCCAGCACTGACACCAACATTTGGCTCTGGGCCTTTGCTGGGAGACAGACGTCCGCCCCTTCTCCAGGAGGAAGATGAAGCCCCTCCCAATGAGGCTGGGCCATGGACGCAGGCACGCAGGAGCCTGACTGCCCTGGACCAGCCAGGCCCGGACCAGGAATTGCTTTCTGTTGCCAACAGGGTTGCTTCTTGGCTTGAGCCAGCTATGCTGTTCCTGTCATTTGAAATTCCGGAGCCCCCAAAGCTCCCTGACCACGGGGTCCCCTGGGCCTTCAAATGCAGGCCAGTCCCTGTGGGCCTTACTGCAGTCCGTGGCCTTCCTTCCAGAGCTGCCTGAGTGACTCAGGGCCCTGCTGAGGCCCTAGCATTTTTATTTTTTTATTTTTTAATATATTTTATTGATTTTTTTTTTTTACAGAGAGGGAGAGAGATAGAGAGTTAGAATCATCAATGAGAGTTATCGATCAGCTGCCTCTTGGGGATGTGCCCGCAACCAAGGTACATGCCCTTGACCGGAATCGAACCCGGGACTCTTCAGTCCACAGGCCGATGCTCTATCCACTGAGCCAAACCGGTTTTGGTGGCCCTAGCGTTTTTAAAGAACAAGACCAGCCCTGGCCGGTGGCTCAGTTAGCTGGAGCGTCATCTTGCACTAAAAGGTGGTGGGTTCAATTCCCAGTCAGAGCACATACCCAGGTTGTGAGTTTGATTCCTGGTTGGGACACAGTGGTAGGCAACCAGTGTTTCTCACATTGATGTTTCTCTGTTTCTACCTATCTCTTCCTTCCTCTTTGTAAAATTTTGTTTAAAAAAAAGAGAAGAAGAACATCAAAAGATATGCGACCACTAGGGTGAACCTATTACAGATAACAAAACGTGGCCAAAGCTGGAAATCAGAGTGCATGGAAGGACCTGAGGCCACGGCTCTCAGGAGGCCTGCAGGCCCTGCTCAGGGGACTTGGTCCCTTCCTTCCTGGATACTCTACTCATCAGGCCTTAGGGAGTCTTGGGGGCTCGGGGGCTGGGGGAGGGCAGGGGCCTGGGCATGGCTGCCAGGGAGGCTGGGAAGTGTATCTCCTGTATTTTTAGCTCCTGGGGAGATGGACATTGCCACCAACATGAAGGCAGGCTTCCTAAACTCAGAAAAAGTTGCAAATTCGGCTGGTTAGACACGTGACAATGATGTTGTGCCTAAGTTTAGAATAAAAACGCTGATGGAGAACATCAGTGCTTTAGAGGGGAAAGCCCAGAAATGACCTCATTCAGCTCCTAAATGTGCAGGAGGCTGGAGAGACGATCTCAGGTCCAGTAGTGGCCGAGCTAGAACCGAGTGAAGGTCCTGGCTTGGTTTCCGTCCTCCCCACCGAGTTCCTGCTCCTGACCGGGTACCACCCGGGCAGCCAGAAACAACAAATAACTCAGAAGCAGGGCGGCGGGCAGGCACTTTCCTACCCTGACACCCTCCCTGGGCCAGGAGAGGCCGAGGCGTCCAGCCTTTCAGAACGTGGGTGTTGGTGGGCAGTCCCACCAGGCTCGTGTGTGACCGAGCCCATGCCAAACCCATAGGGCAGCTCTCGGGTCTCCTCATATTTGTTCCTATTGGACGGGGCCCCAGGAACAAATCCAGGACATCTCCCTCATTGGATGAGGTTCCCGGGGCAGAGTGGACATCCCCCCATGGCGGGGGTCCCCCGGGCAGAACCCCCTTCACTCTGCCCCAGGGGTGCTGAGGGGAACAGTATTCTGGAGTGCAGTCTTGTGTAGGGACACTGAAATACTTGCCTTCTTTGGGAGCAGAAATGAGGGCAGCACCATTGTCAGATGTGAAGAAAACAAATGTGTTCTCCGCGATCTTCAGGTCCCGAAGCAGGTTCAGGATCTTCCCCACGCTGTCATCGATCTCCCGGACAGCGTCGCCGTACCTACGGGAAAGATGGGACACTTGGCAGGTGGTCAAGGGTTCCGGTGTGATCAAAGACTTCAGGGTGGATAATGACAGACTAAATTCACAGAGGAGGGGGGAAGTGCGAGTTCTCAGAGCTAATCTAGGAGTGCGAGCACACTGCTGCAGCCTCCTCCCACCAAGCCTGGGCTGATGGGTAGCTCCGGGGCACAGACGCGTCAGTCTTTTTCTACAATCGATAATTAAATCATAACGGCCTGGCCGGCGTGGCTCAGTGGTTGAGCATAGACCTATGAGCCAGGAGGTCACAGTTTGATTCCTGATCAGGGCACATGCCCGGGTTGCAGGTTTGATTCCCAGTGTGGGGTGTGTGGGAGGCAGCCGATCAAAGATTCTCTCTTATAATTGATGTTTCTATCTTTCTCCCTTTCCCTTCCTCTCTGAAATCAATAACAACATATTAAAACACACACACACACAACCCACAAAATGGTATTGAGTGCCCTGTCCCTGGACGTAATCAAGCACAGTTGAACCTCCCAGAGAGGCCTATATCTCCACCACCGGGGACTCACCGCCCTCGCTGACTGGTGCCCAGGAAAGGCTTAGAAGCATAAACGGGCGCGTGTGTGGCGTCGATGGCCCAGTAGAGAAAGAAGGGGTGCTGAGCCGCCTGCTGCCTCTTAATGAAATCCAGGGCTTCCTGAGGAGAAGAACACACCATCTGCCCCTGCCCAGAGGCGGGACTCCCCACCCCAGAGCCTGCCAGCCCGGCTCCCGTTACCTGCAAGTAGATCTGGGTCAGGTTGGCTTCTCCAGTGTTTTGATTAATTGGAAACTCTTCATAAAATCTGATGAACAGATCCAGAGAGAAATTAAATTTCAGGTAACGAAAGCCTCTTCTCCGTGACTTCATAGGCAAAGACCTAAGCCTCATTTAAAAGAATGACGGAAATGCCCAATTTATGAACAAATGAAATTGGGAGGTCACAGTCTCGAGGGCAGAGTGGGGCTAAGACTGGGTGTCATGGTCACCATTTAGGAGGATGGGAAGCATTGTGTAAGGGCAGAGAGGGCAGCGAGAGAGATGAAGGCAAGAGGCAGATCCTAGTTACTTAGGGCTGGGGCGGTCACTGATGAGTGTGAGTTGTCTTTCTGAGGCGGCAGAAATCTTCTGAAACTGGTGATGGCTGCAAATGCTGTGAATGTACTAGAAAGCACTGAACTGCGTATCTATACTAATAAAAGGGCAATATGCAAATTGGTCATTATGCCTCACAGTAACAACCGAACAGCAGGCTGCTGGGGCGACCAGGCTGGCAGGGGGGCAGTTGGGGGTGACCAGGCCAGCAGGGGAGATAGTGAGGGGCAACCTGGCCGGCAGGGGGCGCAGTGAGGGCAACCAGGCCAGCGGGGGAGGGGGGGCAGTTAGGAGCGACCAAGTCAGCAGAGGGGGGCAGTGAGGGGCGACCAGGCTGGTGGGGGCGGGGTGGGGCAGTTGAGGGTGACTAGGCTGGCAGTGGTAGTGGCGGGGCAGTTGGGGGCGACCAGGGTGGCAGGGTGGGTAGTTGGAGGTGATCAGACTGGCAGGCAGAGGTGGTTAGGGGTGATCAGGCTGGCGGGGGACAGTTAAGGCAGACAGGCAGGTGAGCAGTCAGGAGTCAGCAGTCGCGAATTGTGAGAGGGATGTCTGATGGCTGGGATCAGGCTGAAACCAGCAGTGGGACATCCCACGAGGGGTCCCGATTGGATAGGGTCCAGGCTGGGCTGAGGGGACCCCCCCTTGTATGAATTTCGTGCACTAGGCCTCTAGTGTGTGTGTGTGTATGTGTGTGTGTGTGTGTGTGTGTGTGTATATATATATATATATATATATATATGGAGGTAATATGCAAATTAGCCAGAATGCCTTAAGGTGTCATGACTGGCTCAGGAGGAGCTGCAGGGCCCAGCACACAAGGGCTCCAGTGCTGGTGAGCAGGTGTTTCCAGAAACCCTGTCCAGCTCCTGGGGAGCCCCAGAGGGCGAGGGCTGGGTTCGGCATCTAAGGGCGAAAAGGGAGGGACCATTACCTGCCGACCATCTCCCAGTCCCGGTACACAGGGATGTTGGGCCTGGCCCTGTTGTCATAAGGTCCAAAATGACAGTTGGGGGATCCAAACCACTCATCAAATCCATGCTTCAGGGGGTGGAACCGAGGCCTGTGGCCCAGATGCCTGGAAACAGGAAGCCAGGACACTTCAGGAAGTCCCACATGGGGCACCCCAAAGTTCCAAACGGCAGCAGCCCATTACCTTCACAGAAAGCGAATGAAAGAAATGTCCCTCCAGCACCCAAAGCATGCTAAGCCCGGGCACAGAAAGACCTCACCCCCAGGAAACTACAGCACTGCCTGCCCTCCCCCAGCGACACCGCCAGGCTACAGCTAAGGGCCACAGACTGGGACAGTGCCAGGACCAGCTAGTGCTGCTCACCAACTCAGTGCCTTGGCCAGAAATGGGGGTGGGTATGACTAGAAGAGAACACAGCAATTTGCCTGCAGTGACAACTGTCAAGCTGTTCAGAATCCCAGGTGCTCTGCGTGGAGTAGAGTGGCCGTCTGCAAGCACCTACCACATGGTGGGTGTCATGCAAAGCCAGGCTGTGCCCTGCTTCCCTGTCCTCTTGAGGACACTTAACGCTGGGTCCTCTTGCCAATGGGAGGGGCTGACTCGCTCCTATGTGTCTCAGGTTCCAGTGGTCCTGGAGCACGGCCCCACGTGTTCCTTGGAATTCAGGGCTAACAGAGGGAGTTCTGGGTTCCGGCCCCTGTGGGGCAGGCCCACTCTACCCTGGAAAGTGATGGGTTTCCTAGGTTTTTGTTTGCAGGCAGCCTCTTGCAGCGACGTGTTTTTGGAAAGCTGTGCCCTGGAGTGGAGGGTCCTGCTCCTCTGCTGCACTTGGGCAGGCCCCATCCTACTGCTCAGAGGCCACACAAACTCCCGAGTTACTGTGAGCTCATTGCACCGCCCAGTCACTCGGTCAGAGGACACGATGTGTGGCAGCGAGGGAGGCCTGGGCGGAGGCAGGCCAGAACGGAGCCAGCCAGCACCTGAGCGACGGTAATGCGTATCTTGGGGCCTGGGTTCCCCACTGCTGGTTATAAGATGCTCTGCCTCCAGACAGCTGCCTGGCACCCACCTTGGGCCTCTCCAGCCTCTCTGCCAGGTGCGTGTCAGCTCTGCTGAGACCTGGGACCGCTGTGACATGCCCCATCATTCCCAATACCTCACTCCAGCACTGGCTGTGTGCGACTCTGTGTACTCACATCCATTAGCTCAAATGGCCTTTGCTTAACAGAATCCCCAGCCAACGTCCTCCTCATGTTGAGATATCAATTTAAAGAGCTCATTCCAAAGCAGCAGCGGGGCCAGCCCTGCCCAAAAGTGAGCTGGATCGGCATCCTATCTCAGCCCCTCTCCCAGGAGTCCAGGTTCCTTGGTCAGGCTGGGGGAATCCAAGTCTGTGGTGCTGGGGCCCTGAGGCAGGATGTCAGAGTAGCCACAACCACGCCAGCCAACATCTCCCCACGACAGCCTTGAGACAGGACCCCCACTGGGTCGAGGAGAGGCCGAGCCCTCTGCCCAGGCCTCCCAGAGCCAGTTCTGCCACAGCCATCCTGACCCTGGCTCATCCACCAGCACAGTGTCCACCTCGAGTTCCACCAGAGCTGCTTCTCTGGGCCCTGTCAACTCCTCCTCTGCATTCATCTTTCTCCTCAGAGATACACCCCCATTCCAGTTCTGGCTGCCCCGAGGCAATGGCTATGGATGGGAGGCCGCTGGACCCAAGGCAGCGCTGCCAGGCTGGGTACAGAGTCCCGGTCATTGGGGGGTTTTACTTCCGCCAGTGCAGTCCTGACATGACACAGCTCTGGCAGGCGTCACAGCCGGCCTTTGCCAGTCTCCCTTGGCCTTCCCGGAATGCTTTGTACCATGCAGGCAGCAAGGGCTCCCTTAACCCAATGCACCACCCTCGCCAGCTCTATTCTGCAGCCACTACCTCCTCTGAGCTCATCTGTCTGGCAGGTAGCTCCCAACTTGTCTCCAGAGGGAGAAAGTATTCATTAGCCTTCAGATCACCAGGATTTTCTGACGATCCCTCTCCCAGTTTCTGTGCTCTCTCATCATGTGATTGTCAACATGCAAAGAGCAGCAGTTCTAAAGGGGCACTGACAAGGCACTCATCCTTGAGAAAGCACGGATGATGAGTACCAGAGGCACAGTGTCCTCAGTGTGTTAGAGATAAAACTAAGGATGGAAAATCTTGGAAGGCTTCCTGTAGGAAGTGGGTTTGCTGTTCTCCAAAGGCCCCAACACCCAGAAAAGGAAAGAGGATGCCTGACCTTTACACCAACCCACTTTGGCAGCCTCAGGGAGTAAGAGACAGAAGATGCTTAACATGCTTAAAACAGTATAAACAGCATGGGTAATAACGTGAGCTTCTACAATCATGAACATTTGATCGCAATGACCCACACTGCATGACTACATGAAAACTCTCTACCTCCTGGTTGCTGCTTCTTCTTCTTCCTTTTTTTGCTTCTCAATGCTTCTTATTCTAGGGTGTTTTTAAAAAATATTATAAACTATTTCTGAACAACATAGGAACACCTCTGTACCCACCAATCGTGGCATGGCTTCTGTGTATCCTTACTTGTAGGACTTCCGTTCAGCTAGACTTCGGGCAGCTCTTGGTGATGGTTGTTCTATAGCTTAGTTTTTGTTTGTTTGTTTTAAATATATATTTTATTGATTTTTTACAGAGAGGAAGAGAGAGGGATAGAGTTAGAAACATGGATGAGAGAGAATCATCGGTCAGCTGCCTCCTGCACCCCCCCCCCCCCCCCCCCCCCGCTCCGGGAATGTGCCCACAACCAAGGCACAGGACCTTGACCAGAATCGAACCTGGGACCTTTCAGTCCGCAGGCCAACGGTCCATCCACTGAGCCAAACCGGTTTCGGCTGTAGCCTAGTTTTAATTTGATATAGTTGTCGGAGGAGGCGAGCACAGTGTTTATCTACTCTGCCATCTTGACGACTAGTTGCTTCTTCATGTCACCACCAGACAGAGCCCTTGTGCTTGCTGACAAAGTGTGTTCCCCATGACAGCACTGCATGTACAATAATATGGCTCCTTTGGGGACACTGCGGCAACAGGCAGCACCAGGAGAGGAACAGGGAGAAGGGGCAGGTGGCTGGCATGTGCAATATGCAAGGAGAACCATGGGCTCACAGCTAACACCCCAGCCTAGAGACAGGAAGTCCCAGCAGCACGGCCATCCCAGCTTTTGAAGGAATGCTTCAGACATCCACATGGACCCGGAAGTCAAAGACTCTACTCCTCACCCAAGAAGGTTTCCCCGTTTGGAAACTGTAGCAGTGACTGTGCGTGGATGCGCCCAGCCGGGCAGCTGTCCGGACTCACCACTTGCCCACGATCTTGCTGACGTAGCCGGCCCCCTTCAGCAGCTCGGGCAGGAGGAGCTCGGTGTCCGGGATGCCGCCCACGATCTCCTGAGGCGTATAGGCTGGAAGAGCACCACAGCGTGTGAACCCCTCACTCACACAGAAGTGCTGCCGAAGACCATGGACCGAAAACTGGCCCTTCGGCGTCAAGGGGAAAAGCCCTGGTGAGGCGCTGGCCCTGCTGCACTGTACTTTCGGGGTCTTCTGAGCACTTCCCCAAAGTAAGCACAGTACTGGGTGGGGACGGACCTACAGAGGGGTTGGGACTATCAGGCAGAGCCCCAGGTCCCTGCCCCCGCTGCTGGCTTGCCCAGAGGTCTCCAGAACATGTCACCGGACAGCATGAGGGGCCCACTCACACCAGGCTCCCTGTGCTTTCTACACTGTTTCTCCAAGGGCTGTTCCCTGCTGACCTCACGGTGCTGGGCTCCCTCAGGCAGTGCTCCTTGAGGGGGTGGGCTGGGGTTGTGCACAACTCCCCAGACTGTGCAGGGCAGCCCTGGGACAGAACACGGCAGGGAAGGAGCAGTGAGCAGTGCATCCCTGAGCCCTCGCATTCCTTCCTTTCTACTTGCCTAAAATGCATCTTTTTTTTTTTATGAAAGTGCTACAATCTGTATTAAAATGGCATGTTGTAATCCAAACAAAACCCCTGACCTTGGATAATGAGTGCTGTCCTGGAGAGGGAAGGTCATACGTGAGAATGGGTGACACAGGCCCCTCCCTTATCCCCTCTGGTCCTCGGCCTCCCAGACCTTTTACAGCCCAAATGCACACGCACCGTTCCTGGCCTGCGCGTTGGTGGTGTAGAAGCCGTTGCGGATGGGCAGACGTCCCGTGAGCAGGGCCGCTCTGGCTGCATGGAGGCAAAAACCCAGAAACACGATGAGAATGCGCATGCATCAGGCCTGTGGCCAGCTCTTCAGAGCTTCTAAGTCCCCTCCAGCCTCTAGAGCTGGGTGGGCAGACTACCCCTGTATTGATGGGCTCAGAGGCCGGTCACCGGGGAGCTCTGGCCAGGCCCTGCAGCTCAGCGTCTCCGCAATCACTCTGCCCGGCTCCCATGACACTGAGATGCAGGTCCCAATGGCCCCTCGTGTGCTCCCCACCCAGCATTGCTTTTCTCCTTAAGGTCAGCATTCATGTAGAAGCCCCTGAGCAGCAGTGAACAAGCCTCAGCACTCAGCACCTGGAACTAGCACCACCCCATGCAGCGACTTTGGCCTCACGGATCCTTAGAGGGGACAAGCCCTCAGTGGCCCATGGCTCCATGTCCACACAAGGAGCCTGGGACCCAATGTGCCAGGAAGCCAACAGAACGGCCCACACACCTGCCAGACCCCTTGGCCCTCAGGGAAATGTGGTGAGGCCGCCACCTTTGTCAGGGCAGCCCGCTCCTCATGCCAGACCCCTCCCCACACTGGCCCCATGCTGCACCATGCCCACTCTCCCCTGCTGTGCCCACCTCCCCTGCCTACTCCCTGTGCCTGACTTACATGGTGAGCACAGGGGGTTGGCTGTGTAGAAGTTTGAGAAAAGCATGCCCTCAGCGGCCATCCGGTCCAAATTCGGGGTCTCTCTGGAAGGCTCTCCATATACTCCCAGGTCACCCCACCCCATCTGCAGAAAAAAAGCATGGAGAGGCGGATTGAACCTCCCCCTATCTTTGGGGTCCGTGACACAGAGCTCCCTCACAGCCCAACGCCTGGCTTGGGCACAGGGAGCATGGGCAGCAGCTGAGCTTTGGGGCTCACCTCCACCCCAGTCTCCACATAGAGAAGAAGCCTCATAACTGTGTTGTGCAGACTGAGACTGAACATCAAGTGGGAGGCTCCCCACAAAGCTGAAGTGTGGCCATGTGACCCAGCTGCTCCACACAAAACCACATGCACGTGCACAGCAGCATGGTGCACAATGGCCCAAAGGGAGCACCCAGTGTCCATCAGGTGAGTAATGAGTAAACACAACATGTCTAACTGTCTGGCCCTGGGTTAATAGTGGCTCCCAGATTTATGTTCACTCTGAAGCTGTGAATGTGCCTTATTTGGAAGCGCAGATGTAAATAGCTAAGATGAGGTCATACTGGGCTCTAAGTCCAATGACTGGTGTCCATAGAGGAGGAGGAGACACAGTCATACAGGGAGACAACAAAGGTAGAGACTGGAGCAATGCATCTACAAGCGGGAGAGGCAGGAAGGATCTTCCCTTGGAATCTCAGGAGAAACCAGCTCTGGATTTCAGACCCTGGCCTCCAGAGCTGAGAAAGAAAAGATTTCTGTTGTTTAAGGCACCAAATTTGTAGTAATTTGTTATGCTCCAGGAAAAGTAATACGCACACTATGGACATATAGCCTGGACAAACTGTGATGAGATCCCTCCAAGCTGGGTCTCCTTAGATTCCCCTCAGCATGAGCCCCAGGTGTCACTTTCATAGTGGCTAACTGCTCCCTTCTCCTAGACAAGGGGCAGGAGCTTTAGCTGTGGGACAGAGTCCAGGGGGCCTAGGCTGCTCCAGCCTCCAGCTGCACCTGCGGGCCTTCCCTCACAGGAGTGACACATTACTCCCTCTGAGCACCAAACCAGAGCGAAATGACCATCTGACCTAGTGATTCCACTCCTGGGTGTCCCCGAAACAGAGTTGAAAACATGTATCTACATGAGAATGTACAGACGATGTCTCAGCAGTGCTACTCCCAGTTGCCAAAGTGTATAGACAACCAAGTGCCCGCTGATGATGGATGAACACCCTTGTCCATCCAAACTCTGGAATACCACTCAGCCACAAAAAGGAGTAAAGCACTAACACATGCTACAACATGGGTGAGCCTCGTGCACGAAATCAAGACTTTCCCAACACGAGGTTTTATAATGTTGAAAACAGAAAAACATGTTCCAGCTGGTTTCTCAGTGGTTAGAGCATCAGCCTTCAGACCAAAGGGTCATAGGTTTGACTCCTGGTCTGGGGCTTAGTCCCCAGCCTGCGTCAGGGTGTGTGTGGGAGGCAATCAATCAATGTGTCTCTCTCACTTTGAGGTTTCTACTCTCTCTAAAAATCAGTGGAAAAAATATCCTTGGGCCAGGATTTTAAGAGTCTCATGCTCTACTGACTGAGCTAGCCGGGCTTTCACTCAGGCCAGGATTTTAAAAAGGGAAAGCAGAAAAATGGCATGCAGGGGGAGGAGGAGAGGTCCTGCGTGAGATCAAAACACTCACTGTTTTCTTGACTGAGGAGCTGGCGAGGCTCCCAAGGTCTCAGAGTCTGCTTACTGATGGCCTTCACTCTGTTTCCCACCGGGGGGAGGGGGAGCTAGAGCATGGGAAGGGGCCCATGTTCCCATTTACTATATAAGGTGCCACCTGGATGAAAGGGTCTGCCTGCCTCCTCCATCCTGCTCCCTGCCTGGCTCTGGGGCGGGAGTTGAGGGGTTGTTTGGCCAGAGGCCTCAGCTCCATAGGCCAGCAGACCCCTCCCCAGCCAGTGAGCCTGTCTCAGGGGTACGAACCGAGTCTTCATGGTAGTGCGCCTTCTCCCTGGGCCTGCTGACCATAAAGGCCGGTGAGCGCACAGAGCAAGGGGCTTCTGGATCCCACTGCCTGAAGTCAAGGCTGCCCCAGGCTGTACAGTCAGGGGAGTTTGGTTTCCTATTTTATATAAGTCAATTTGCATGCATTTTCTGTTATTTCCCACCAAAAAGTCGTGGCTTGTCCACATTTGCTGACCAGGGCAAAAGTCTTCCAGGCTTCTTTGGTTTCAGCTGCCAGAGAAGCCCAAAGCCACAAGAAGGAAATTGCACCGGAGAGGCCCAGCACTGGGGCTCCTGGCCACTGTTTCGGTTCCTGTTACCCCACCCCGGGGCACCCAAGCAGGGAGGCTCCCCACATTAGCCCCTCTAGAGCAGAAATACTCCCAGTGCTGGTCATGCTCCACTACTCAGAACCTCCACTGCCTACACGACATTTCCAACAGAAATACACAGCAGCTCCCTGTGTAAGTTTGCACTTTCTAGCAGCCTCATGAAAAAGGCAAAAAGAAAGACAAATGAGGGCTAGCTTACTTTATTTAACTCAATACAGGCATACCTCACTTTACCTGCACTTTGCTTCATTGTGCTTCAGAGGTGTTTTGTTTTTTAATAAACTGAAGACTCTCCACCAGCAAAAATATCACGACTCACTTTACTGTGATACTTGCTTTATTTCGAGACTTGCTCTATTGCAGGGGTCTGAAACCAGACCTGCAAAATCTCTGAAGTATGCATGAATACCCAAAATGTTATCACTATAATAAACCTTCAATAGTCCGGAGGGCACATGACTTGCTTCATACACCCACTGCCACCCTGGAGAGAAGGGGCAGGGGCAGCAACCTCACACACACAGCACTCAGCTCGAGTCTCACCATTCAAAGGAACAAGCCTTGACAGGGCTCCAGCTTTGAGAGGACTGAATATTGAACAAAAAGCAAGCATTTCCAAGACTAACGTGTTGCTCATTAGGATGGACCAGCTGAAGGGCTGCAGAACCTGCTGTAGAAGCCGTCATCACCTGAGGAGTTTATGAGACTAAAAATAAAGCATGTGCAGTGTTATCTCTGGGCGGTGGAACTATGGATGGGTTTCTACGATCTTTTCAGGTTCATCTGAATGTTATCAATTCTTCATAATAAAAAAATCATTATTATAACAAAAAATTAAGTACGATTTGTCGTTGTTGTTAATCCTCATCTGAGGATATTTTTTCCCCATTGATTTTTAGGGATAGTAGAAGGGAGGGAGAGGGAGGAAAAGCGAGAGAGTGAACCATCAATGTAAGAGAGTCACAATGATTGGCTGCCTCCGTGCGCCTGGACTGGGGATCAAACATACACTGCAACCCAGGTACCTGCCCTTGACTGGGAATCGATCCTGGTACCCTTCAGTGCGATATGAGGTGGGGGATGGGGGCAATGCTCTAATCACTGAGAAACACCAGCCAGGGAAAGTGAGATTTTTTTTTTTTTTTTTTTTTTTAACATTCTTTTTCTTGCACTGAGTCTTCAAAGTCTGAGTATATTTACGCGCTCGGCACCTCTCCATCCAGCCCAGCCAGGGCTGTCCGACAGCCACCTGAGGCTCCTGGCCTTCGTCCAAAGGCTCCTGAGCATCTTTGCTGGCCTTTGGGGAACTCTGAGCTATATTTACTCACAACACTCTGATACCAACTGTGGGGATTTCCTCACCAGCCACTTCTCCAACTTCCTGGGCACCAGCTGGAGTCCAACAATTCAGTTCCGTTTTGCCGCTACCCGGAGCTTGTCTCAGACCCCACAGGTCAAGTGCTCGATCCCACATGACTGACCCTTTCAGCCTGCCACAGTCCTGTGCCTCCTGAACTTCTGACCAACCTGCTATAAGTTGGGAGTACAGACCTGCTCAAGTTCCACAATTTGCTACAACAGCTCATAGAACTCAGGAAAGTGCTATACTTACTATTACAGTTATAAAGGAAGGTTATAAATGAAGGGGTGCCTTGGCTGAGGTATGGGGAAGGTGTAAGGAGTTCCCCACTCTCTCCCGCTCCTCCACGTGTTCCTGTTGTTTAGGTTTTTTTTTTTTCCTTTTTTTTTTTTTTCTTCAAAAGGAGGTCTTGTTACACAATTGATTGAATCATTGACCTCTGGTGATGGAACTCAATCTCCAGCCACTCACTCTTCCCTCCTTGGAGGTCAGGGTTGTGCTGAAGGCTTCAGCCCCTGATCACACCTTGGCCTTCTGAGGAACTCATCCTGAACCTACCCGGGGCCCCAGCCATTTAATTCACGACCACTCCACAGACACCACTCTCACTCCCGGAGCTTTAGGAGCTGTAGCTAGGACACTGTCTGTGACCATACTACAGGACCTGGCATCACAGCCTGCCCTCTGCCCTGGCTGTCCTCACATCACCGTGAGGAGAGCTGGAGGGAGAGGACACAGGCTCTAAGAGCTCAGTAACTTCTCCAAGCTCAGGCGAGTAGGATCTCCAACCCAAGTTTGTCTGCACCTCTACTTTACCAGAATTCTTATTTCACTCCGGTCTGGAAAGGTGCACAGGAACAGAGTTGCAAAGGGACAAGTGAACCACTCTGCTCCCATGCAGGATCCTGTGCCTTGCTACTCTCCAAAGGGCTGACCTGTAAGTGTGACCTTGCGCCTGGGGCTGCACACACACCTGACGGGGTACATTATTTCACTTCAGCTAAAGACCTGACTTTTGACTAGAATTCTCAACAGGGCCAGAGATACCTGCCCAGGTGGACAGGGGCAGCTCTGGGGTAGGGCAGGTGCAGCGAATCGACTTTCTAAACAGGCAGAGCCTCAGTCTCGGTCAGCTTGTCACTCCCTTCTCTGCCCCTGGACGCTCTGGGTGGGAGGGCAGAGTTGAGCAGGGGCGGCAACGAGACTGGTCCTCACCTGGTGAGGGCGGCAGCTGACCTGGGCTGCCCTTTCACCCTCCCAGAGCGGGACAGGCAAGAAAGGGAATAATGATGCAGGAGGGATCTTCTCCCAGTCGGGACTTCCCTACTCCCCGCGAGGCTGCAGGCGCCACCCCTTCACCGGCTGAAGAGAGTCACATTGATTGGCTGCCTCCGGTTCCTCTCACGGGACTCCCCCACCCACGGCCACCCCCACCTGTTGCCTTGTGCGCTGCGTCCTCCCGGAGCCCAGCCCGCACTCACATCGTCCATGAGCAGGAGTAGGATATTAGGTGGCTGTGGGGTGCCGCTGGTCCCCAGCACCTCTGCACTCATTACTAGCAGCAGCCACCACCTCATCGCCGCAGCAACCGCCGCCATGGCAACCACGCCGGGCGCGGCAGAACCCCGGCGAGCGATAGGACCCGGAGGGCAGCTTTTCCGGGAGCGACGGGGCGGGGCCAGGCTGGATGAGTGACAGGAGGGGCGGGACCCAGGCAGTCCCGTGACCGGCTAGGCGGGGTCACGTGACGTGGCCGACCGGGCCTCCCAAGATGGCGGTGTGCGTGGCGGTGATCGCCAAGGAGGTGCGTACGCAGGCGGGCGGGCGGCCCCACAGTGCTCCGGTGCTCGCCGGTACCCCAGCACAGTCCCGCCCTCGCCCTCCGCCTTCCCACTTCCCTGCCCCAAGGGCCCCGGAGGGACCAGCCCGCGGTCTCCGCGGGGCGGATGGCGTCTGGGCGGTTCCGGAAAGGCGCCGCCTACTTCCGCTTTCGAAGCTGCGCAGGCGTCATCCCCGGGCGCCCGCCAGCCGGGCCCTTCTTTCCGGCTCGGCCCGGGATCCCACCCCCCAATTTCCCCCCGTAACTTCCCCCATCCCCCTCCGGTACCCCCTTCTCGCTCCTCGAGCCAGCCGCCCACTTCTCCATCCTGCTCCACCGCACATCCGGGCCACGCCGTCGCCCACTCGGACGAGAGACACCACACACAGCAGTCAGTGCTGCTTTAAAAACAAATCAGATCGTGTCACGCTCCCGCCTAAAGCCTCTCCAGTGCCTTCTCATTGCTACTGTCTGAATAACCCGGTCGCCTCCTCCCCTCCTCCATATAGAACACCCTCCACTCCAAAGCAACGGGATTACTTGCAGCTCCGTGACAGGCTCTGCCCTCTCACCTCTGGCCTTTGCACCTGGAACTCCTCTCCCCCTAACTCCCTTTCCTCATCTTCCACCCCCTTCCCTGGACACTATAGGCTTAACTTCCTTAGAAAGCTGTGTCTGAATCCTGACACTGAGCTGGGTAGCTGTCCACATGCTCCTATTACAGTGCCCTTCTGTGTCCTCCGTGAGACCAGGCTTATGAGGCGTTCCTGCCTTGAAGCTCCTGAATGCTGGCTTCCTTCTTAGCTACAGCACGGTATTCGTTTGTTGGTGGGATTTGGCAACTGCTTCCACCGAATGTCAGCCCCATTAGAGAAGGGACAGTGTAGTGTGCACTGTATCTGGGCAGCGCCAGGCAAGGAACAGAAGCAGTGAATTGTGACATGAGGAAGCCCCCCAGGAAGATGCTGTTAACGCCGAGATCAAGATGGTCAGAAATGGATATGAAGAGATGGAGGGAGGTTTGAACCGAGCCTGAAAGAGTTTAGGGAGAGGGCAGGCCAGTGCCTCTTCTAAGGTGAGATTGCAAGAGGCGGTGTATCAGGAAACAGCCAGTAGTAGGGGGCCAGGAGAGCGCAGTCTGGGGCTGGGCCCCACCGGGGAGGGAAGTGACCTGTCCAGGTGACAGGTTAGTTGTCAGACTGGGCTCAAATCCATCTTTTTTTCTGCCCACCCTAGAGATGCCCCTTTGCAGACAATATATAGGGCAGTGCCCACAATAGCCTGGAAAAGTAACCAACGGGTTCTAGAGTGTGTTCCTGTGGCTAGTTGGCACTTGGCTGGTCCTCCCTCCACTAAGTGCTCTGGCCTCGTTTTCATAATCTGTGCACACAGAGAGGATTCACATCACTTCAGCTGCCGTCATCCTCTCTTGCAGAATTACCCTCTTTACATCCGCAGTGTCCCCACGGAGAATGAGCTGAAGTTCCACTACATGGTGCACACGTCCCTGGACGTGGTGGACGAGAAGATCTCCGCCATGGGGAAGGCCCTGGTGGACCAGAGGGAGCTTTACCTGGGCCTGCTGTACCCCACAGAGGACTACAAAGTGTATCCTTACAGCGGGCAGGGGCCTGGCAGCGGGCTTCTCCCCACAGGGCGGGAATCCGGGATTCCGCCTGAAGTTGTGTGGTGTACTGTAGGATCAGATAACCTTGAAAGGCATTTTGTACCATCACTTGCAAAGAAAAAAAGGTGAGGGCTTTTAGCCCAGGGGGGATTAGGGCAGCTTGAGGCTAATTGGATTTTGCCCTTTTTTCCTTTAATTAGGAGGATAATATGGGAAAAGCCAGGCTTGAATTACCTGGAGAATTGTGACCTTGTCAGGTTTACAGGAGAGCTGGGGAAGCTCCTACTTTATTTATTTATTTATTTTTAAAAAATATATTTTATTGATTTTTTACAGAGAGGAAGGGAGAGAGATAGTTAGAAACATCAATGAGAATCATCGATCAGCTGCCTCTTGCACACCCCCTACTGGGGATATACCCGCAACCAAGGTACATGCCCTTGACCGGAATCAAACCCGGGACCCTTCAGTCCCCAAGCTGATGCTCTATCCACTGAGCCAAACTGGTTTCGGCGGGAAGCTCCTACTTTATGCCTGCAAGGGTTTCTTTCTCAGCAGGGCTACCAGCTCTGAGCAAGGAATAATCGGTTCACTCATTTCATTTTCAGGCGCAGCCCCACAAGTCACTATAAAATCTTGACCATGCCCTTGGGGCAGATGGCTTGAGACCCATGGAGTTCAAAAATGTTCCCACAAGCAATAATGTAGCTTGCCCACAGTGATGCTTGCCCGGGAGTGGCCTTTTGAGGTGTAGACACTGCAGGCAGGATTTGTCCTTCATGAAATCGCTAGTTTACCAGTTAACACTACCAAGCTAAGCATTGATTCATAAAGGGGGCAAAAAACACAGTGACTCCTGTAGCAAGTAGGCTTGGGCTGGACTGTGGACATTCTTGAATCTCAGCCTCTAGAATCTGTATCCTACATAATCCTATACAATAAAAAGGTAATATGCAAAAAAAAAAAAGGGGGGGGGCAAGACCTGGGCAGGACAGTTTTGGGAGTTGGAATCAGGATGGGGTTTAGTTGCCTGCCCTTTGCTTCTCTAGTAAACACCAGAAGCTGCCCCCAGAAGGTGTCTAGTCACACCCAGCCAGGCAGGCCCAGCCTGGGGCATTTCCTGTGATGCAAGGTTTGTCATGTTTCTCCAAAGGGGCTCTGGAGCCAGGGCATGCACAGATGGCCCTCTGCTTTCACACTCTCTAGTGAGGCTGTTTCATGTTTGTCACAGAGCCCCTGTGTTGACAGCTTGTTCCCTAACCAGCTGTGCAGATATGGGTATGTGACCAACTCCAAGGTGAAGTTTGTTATGGTGGTGGATTCTTCCAACACAGCGCTTCGTGACAATGAGATTCGCAGTGTAAGTGCAAGGAGTCTGTAAGCGGTGCCTGAGGCTGTTTGTTTTTCTTTTGTTTAAAAATGTTGAGAGGCAAAAAATATGGCAGTAATCCTGTGTACATGTGAATTAAAAATGTTGGCTCTTCTTGCAGATGTTCCGGAAGCTGCACAACTCCTACACAGATGTGATGTGTAACCCCTTCTATAACCCAGGAGACCGCATTCAGTCCAGGTGGGCCTACTGTCATGTTTGCTACCTTCATTTGTAGGCCCTGCCTTGCTAAAAGGCAATGATTTTGAAAGGAAGGGAGGGAAGGTCTTTTTAAGCAGTGGACACTGTTCTCCTAAGTCAGCAATTCTGAAGCAGCGGAACTTGATTTTTTCAAGCAAACTCTCACCCATATCTCCAACGTATAAAACAGATGGGACTTGGGGGATAGAGCTTGCCCATTTGGTTTCCCATGTGCCCCCACTAGGTACTAGAGCACCATCACAGAACTCAGTGAGGGCTCAGGCCTATGGACAAGAGCCTTCTGGGAAAACATCCTCCTATTGCTGCTTAGTTTTGTCTTTGATATAGAACTTGAATGGTGAGGAAATTGGATTGCAGATATCTTCAAATAGCCTTCAAATATAATAGTCTTTTAATTTTGGAATGTCACGAAGTTGCTTCAGAAAGAAGCACTCACACACTCCAAGCCTGCTCCTGGGAATTCCATACATTTCTAGACACCCAAGGGGCTTCTTGCAGCTGGTAGGTAAGAGGACACTAAAGTGACCTGAGCCAGGCCCTTCCTCTGCTGCCCGTGATACTGTGTTTTTGGTCATCTTGGGCCCCAGGGGGAGAAGCCAGTGCTGTTATGTAGAGCCTGTGTCTCCTGGGCTGTTTGGGGCAGTGACAGCCCTGCACTCCCACACTGCAGCTCCTCCACCCTATGCGGAAATCCAGTGGGCAGGACCTTGGAAACCTGAAGGGAAGTGGGAGGCAGGAGACTTAGACTCTCATTGCCAGGTATGGCAGGACACACGTCCTGGCCTCTTAGCTAAGTTCACTTGCCTGGATGTTAGAGGCGTGGGCCTTGGGCAGTGCCACAGAGGCTGCCTCTAGGCAGCTGGTGGAAGGCCAGGTCTCGTCTCTCAATTGGACTGTTTCTCTTTGCAGGGCCTTCGATAGCATGGTGACGTCTATGATGATACAGGTCTGTTGAGTGAGAAGCTTGCTGCCTGCTGAGTGAAGAGAAGAGTTTTGTACATACTGTATTGTGTAGATGTGTATTTATTATCATTTATCCCACATGGGGGCGAGGCCAGGTGGGGGGCATGTCAACTAAAGGTCTTGTGACAGCAGATTTGGTGTTTTCCTTCTACCGACAGATTAACTGGAGTTTAATGCAGAACTTTTCAGGGATGGGTGCAGATAGAGGTCAGGGACAAGATAGCAGGGAACTGTTGTCCCCACAGGCACGAAGGGGCAGTGGGAGCTGGTTGGTAGGAGCCCACAAAGCTTGGAGCCCTGGAGAGGCTTTGGCCATGGGGCAGCCTCTGTCCCACCGGCTGCTCTTGTGGCGCCCTCCAGTGGCTGACCAGGTGGGGTGCCGAATAAGGCCTCCATGGCCGGATTTAGAACTCCCCCCACAGGGAAAAATTCTCTAGCTGGTCTTGCACCAGCCTGATGTCTGGACTTGGCCCAATCTTGAGAGGCAGCTGTTAAGAGTTCTAGGCCACTTCTTGTAACTGCAGCATCTCACCTGTGGTTGTTGCTTTCTGAGCACGAAGGAGCCTCTTCCATCTGTTGGTGCACAGTGTTTCTTGTG